TAGTGAATGAATAAACAATCTGTAGTACTCCATATGGTGGATTACTCACTTTATAAAACAAACTAATGATACATGCAGTAACAGAAATGAATCTCAAACATATTCTGCCACATAAAAAAGAGATAAAGGCATGTATATACTGATTACAAGTTATTTCATTTATGTCACATTCCATTATATTGAAATATTCTTGAAAAGGCAAAACTACAGGACCAAAAACAGATCAGTGATTACCAAGGGACACAATGCGGGGAAGTGGACTAGTTGCAAAAGGAGAATAAGGGAACTTTTTGAGATGATGGAAGTGTTTTATACCTTGGTTGTGGTGGTACATACATAATTTTACATATTGGTCAAAACCATTAGACTCCACACATACCAAAAACAATTACTCTACCTTCTACCATATGGGACAACACAGATATTCAGAATTATCTCTTCCCCAGAAGATAGAAGTAGTGGTTTCAACCTTAAACTCATAACCCTTTTCCCCTTAAAGTGAATTTTTAGTTATCATATTTTTTATATAATAGTAATATGTGCAGGCTTTAGATGGGAGTAGTCTGTAGGATACCAACTAGAAAGTCTGAATAGAAACAGAAACCAAGTGTTAGAAAGCATTAAAAGGCTGCTGACAAAATGAGTTTCTAGATTCCATAGAAGGAAGAAACTTGGAAAGGTATACTAGTATCTATAGTCAATTTCTGACTGCATTAATATCCAATTCTGAAATAAGAGGTGTTAAATAATTCTTCCTACATAGTGGAGGAAGGATGAACACCTTATGGAAGAAGATAAACATCATCTGAGACTGCATTCTTTATCTTATGTATATCTGAGCTTAACCAAAACTTATTAGGCACAGGAAAGACAGAACAAAGTGAACACAAAAAGAAGAGAAAAGCTGGCAATTATATATATACATATACATATATATATATATATGTATATGTATATATATAAACTCTCCACAAAACGGAAAATAACCCACCTTATTTTATAAGGCCAACATTACCTTGATATCAGAAGTCTGATTAAAAATTTGACAAAGAATAATTGCAGATCAGTCTTTTGTGAATATAAATACAAATGTTCCCAATAAAATGTAGCTAACTAAATCCAGCTGCTTATACATAAGAGACAGACACAGAGACAGAGAGGACAAAATATATGCCATATAAATGAATGCAGAGAATCCATTTGATCAAACTGTACACACATTTATGAAAAACTATACAGATTGCAAAGAGCAGGGGGGAGGGAGATATGGGGAGTTTCTAATCAATAGGTATAAAGTCCTAGATAAATTCTCAAGATCTGCTATATAACACTATGCCTATAGTTAATATTAATGTATTGAACATTAACAGATTTGTTGAGGACATACCTAATGTTAAGTATTCTTAAAACAATAAAATTAAATTTTGTTTAAATTTTTTTAAATTAGAAAAGTACCAAATCACTACAATCTTTCAGAAGGTAGTAGCAGCAGCAGTTGACCCTAACTCATTTTATAAGGCCAGCATTACTCGAATACCAAATCAAAGACATTACAAGGCAGGAAAACTAGAGATCAATCTCTCTCAGGAACATACATGTAAAAATCCTGAACAAATTTTACCAAATCTATTCCAATAATGTATAAAATGATTTTTATCCCATGTATACAAGGCTAGTTCAATATCTGAAAAACAATTAATGTAATCTGTTACATCAACAAGCCAAAGAAGAAAAATCACATGATCATATCAACAGATGCAGAAAAAAGCATCTGACAAAACAGAACACCCATTCATGATAAAAATTCTCAAAGAACTAGGAGTAGATGGCAACTTCCTCAACTTGATAAAGAACATCTATAAAAAAACTACAGCTAACCAAATTTATTGAGAAACTCAAAGTTTTCCCACTGAGATCAAGAATAAGGCAAGGATATCTCATCTCACCACTGCTTGTCAACATCACACTGTCTTACCTAAAGGAATAATAAAACGTATACAGATTGGGAAAAAAAATTAAAGTCTTTGTTTGCAAATGACATCATTATCTATGTAGAAAATCCAAAAGATTTGAAAAAAAATTTCTGAAAATACTAAGTATCCCATGACTACAAGATAAAAAGTTGATACACAAAGTGAATCATTTTCATACGTCAGCAATTAACAATTGGAATTTAAAATTAAAATCACAATGCCACTTACATAAGCATCCCCAAAATGAAATACTTAGTCATAAATCTAACAAACTATGTACAAGCTCTATATGAAGAAGACAACAAGATGCTGATGAAGAAAATCAAAGAACTAAATAAATGGAGACATTCCATGTTCACGGATAGAAACTTAATATTATCAAAATGTCAGCTCTTCCCAGCTTATTCTACCAATTCAATGCAACTTCAGCCAAAATCCCAGCAAGCAGATACGGATAAACTTATCCTAAAGTTTATAGTCAAAAGACCCAGAATAACCAATTCAATATTGAAGAAGAACAAAGTTGGAGAACTCACACTATCCAAATTCAAGACTTACTTTAAAGCAATTGCAATCAAAACAGTGTAGTACTGATGAAAGAATAAACAAGCAGATCAGTGGAACAGAGTATGGAGCCCAGAAATAGACCCACATAAATGTAGCTGACTGATCTTTGACGAAGGAGTAGTGGCAATACAATGGAGAAAAGACAATACAATTTTCCAAAGAACATTGCTGGAACATCTGGACATTCACAAGCGGAAAAAAAAAAACGATGAATATTACATCCTTCACAAAATTAACTCAAAATGGGTCATAGATCTAAATGTAAAATGCAAGACTATAAAACTCCTAGAAAATAACATAGGAGAAAATGACCTTGAGCTTGGCGGTGACTTTTCAGGTGCATATAAAACCAACACTAAAGGCACAATTTACAAAAGAAAGAACTGATAAGCTGGACTTCATTAAAATTAAAATTTTCTGCTCTCAGAAAGACATTTTCAAGAGAATGAAAAGACAAGCCACACTGGGAGAAAATATTTGTGAAAGATATATCTGATAAAGGACTGTTATCCAAAACATACAAAGAATTTTTAAAATTCGACAATAAGAACATAAACAACATGATTTAAAAATTGAAAAAAGATGTGAACAGATACCTCATAAAAGGAGATACTCAGATTGCAAATATGCATATTAAAAGATGGTCCACATCATATGTCATCAGGTAAATGCAAATTTACAACAACAATGAGATACCACTACCTGTTAGAATGGCCAAAATCCAGAACACTGACATCAAATGCTAACCTGGATGTGGAGTAACAGGAACTCTTCATTCACTATTCTTGGGAATGCAAAATGATACAGCCACTTTGGAAGAAAGTTTGGCAGTCTCTTCTAAGACTAAGCATATTCTTACCATATGATCTAGCAGTCACACCCTTTGGTACTCACCCAAATGAGCTGAAAACTCATGTCCACACAAAAACCTGCACAAGGATGTTTATAGAAGCTTCATTCATAATTGTGAAAACTTGGAAACAACTAAGATGTCCTACACTAGGTTAATGGATTAAAAAACTGAGACACATTCAGAAAATGGAATATTATTCAGCACTAAAAAGAGATGAGCTATCAGCCATGAAAAAAACATGGAGAAAACTTATTTGCATATTATTAAATGAAAGAAGCCAATCTGAAAAGACTATCTACTATATTCCAACTGTATGATAATCTGGAAAAGGCAAAACTATGGAGACAGTAAAAAGACCAGTGGTCGCCAGGAGTTTGGGGGAGGGAGGGATAAACTGTCAGACCACAGTGAATTTTAGATCAGTGAAAGTACTCTATATGATACAACAATGATGGATATACACTTGCCCAAACTCACAGAATATACAACACCAAGTGTGAATCCTAATGTAAATGATGAACTTTGGATGCTAATGATGTATCAGTATAGGTGCATCAATTTTAACAAATGCACCACTCTGGTAGATGATGCTGATAATGGCAAAGACTGTGCATGTGTGGAGGCAGGGGGGATATGGGGGAACCTAAAACTGCTCTAAAAAAATAAAGCTTATCCCCTCAAATCACACAAAAATAAGAGTTGAGGAAATACTTCCCTAATCTTTTTTTTAATGTTTACAAAAATATACATAAAACACCATTCTCAATGATGAGATATTTAACCCTCATCTCTTCCTGGATAACATAAATGACACAAAGGCCACTAAGATCACTTCTGTTCAGCATTATCCTGGAAATCCAGCCAGTGTGATAATGAAATAAAAAAAATTAAAGTCGTGAAAATCAGAAGATATGAAATAAAACAAATATTAAACCATAGAGCAGAACTGCATACACAGAAATTACAAATAAATTCACAAATTAGCAATGATATATGATTTTGGAAAGGTTGCTAAAGTCATCAAAATAATAAAACCAATTATATTTCCTTATAAGAAAAAAGTAGAAAAAGGCATTTTAAAAATTATGCAATACAAAAAAAAGTATGCAATGTATAATGACATCAAAAATATTTATCTGGGAAAAAAATAACAGATGTGGAAGTCAATGCACTGAAAACAAAACAGTATTAAAAAAAAGTAAAGAATGTCCAAATAAATTGGAACACTATACCACATCCATGAATTGAAAGAAGCAACATGTCAAGATGTCAATTCTTTCCAAATTGATTTAATATCATCCTGATAAAACTCATAGCTGAGTGTTTTGAGTAACTGACAAATGGATACTAAAAATCTATCTGGAGACACAAACAGGTAAGAGTAGTCAAAATAATATTTAAAAAAAAATTTGGAAGACTTAGCCAGATATCAAGATCTGTCATAAAGATTTATAGTCACAAACTGGAAACAATACAAAATCTATCAAGCTACCACATGTATGATTTTTGCAGTTCTCTCTCATCTTGCATTGGTAGAGGATTGAAACCACACATGGATATGGGAGCTTCAAGAGTGCTGAGGTCACTACAGGAGAAATCAATCTTACCTTGGGGATGAGGTAGTTTCTGAATTTAATGTCATGGGTCACCGCATGGGGCAGGTTGGTGGGGATGAGATTGATGTATCTCTGGATTTCGTGCACCACAGCATCTGTATAGGGCATGTGGCTCCTGTCCTGCATGCAGGGGCTCCGGTGTCTGCCAATCACACAGTCAATCTCTTCCTGGACCTTAGCTGATAAGAGACAAGAAAGACTGATGGAAAAAGAAAAATGTGCCTCCCACATTTGCATACCAATTCAGAAATACATGAGGCATTATGAAGTTGTCCCAACATCACTGTAAACATTAGTTATATTTCAAAAATGCACCTAGACATTGAGTGAATTGTCATAATACAGGTACAAATGACTCATACAAGCTACGCTTTGAGATAAGTCTGTGCACACCTCTATATTAGCATACAGAATCATGAATACAAGTAGAAAGGATGAAATGCTTCATATATAAATAGTACATTAACTCAAGAAATTACTGTCCTCACAGAAAAACAGGGAACAAGTATTAATTACAGATCAAATAATATATGATGCTTTAAAAATCAAATTCTATAACTGATGTATACGTATGTATGGTTTGTGTGACTGTATGTGTGTTGTGTGTGGATTTATTTACAACTTGCAATTCTATCTTCTCTAATCCTCACACTCCCCAAAGGTGACCACTTTGAAACATTCTAGCAGTTTCTTCTGAAATTTCTCTCATATTTCTAAACAATAACTATTTATATTTCTTGATTTATCCATTTTTAGACCAAGTGTGACTTTATGGTAGGTGACCCGAAGGCTAACATCTCAACCACTACCCCATACAAAATACATACACACACACACACAACTTCCCCTCAATTTTCTCCAGTATATTTCTATCACAATTTTTTATTGTATCACTATTCATTGTTTATATCATTATGACTATGTAAAGTAAGACAACTGATTATGTTTACCCTTTTCTACATTCCTGGTCTTACAAGCACCTATTTCAATTCCTAATTTTTAGGTGTCAATTTAGAATTATTGAAAATGCTCAGCCAGATGTTTCAAACTCCTAGTAATAATCTTCTTATTACTGGAAAGCCTCAATTTATCATTTCTCTTTTGTTCTTGGTGTTTCCTCTCACATCTGCTTTATCCATCTAATCCATTTTGAAATAGTTTTCTAAGCCTTTTGCACAGCACCCTCTCTGAAACCTCCATTCTCCTACAGGAGATCTACTCATTCTTTTTCTGCAACTTAAACAGGAGTAATTCTCATCTGCAATTAATTTATCATTTCAATGGGATTATGACTCAAACATAATTTCCATAACCAATCTGCTATTCATAACCAGAACCTGCTTAAAGATAATTTAAAATTATTTTTTAAAAAGTTGTTTATAAAAGTTAAAACTATTAACCTGAAAGGAAATTATTATGGTAAACACCATTTTTCTGGACTCAGACTTCTGGAATAAAAAAAATCCTTTTGAATTGTGACACAAGTACAAGAAAAGAAATTACAGGCCAATATTCCTGATTAACACAGATGCAGAAATTCCCTACAAGATACTAGCAAACTGAATACAACAGCACATTAAAAGGACCAGACACCATGATTAAGTTGAATTTATCCTTGAGATGCATGTGTGGTTCAAAATATGCAAAACAATATAATATACCACATTAACAGAATGAAGCATAAAAAATCATATGATCATCTCAATAGATGCAGAAAAAGCACTTGACAAAGCTTAAGATCGTTTCACGATAAAAACTCCCAACAGATTAATTATAGAAGGAATGTACCTCAACAAAATAAAGGCCACATATGACAAGCCTAGAGCTAACATCATACTCAACAATGAGGGAAGTGATGTTATAATCACAACAGTATAAGACGCTCCCTTAGTTTCTCACCTTCAATCTACCAGTAAAACATCCATAACTCAACAAAGGTAACTCTGCCCAACACACTAGGATGCCACAGAATTCCACACAACTGTTCATTTAAAGGTGGGTGGACTGGAACATCCAGAGGCAGAACTGGGAGAACAGATGAGGCAGTGCCTGAGATTGTGGCACCCAGCCACGGCAGCTGAGCCTGCAACTCCAGAGCACCCAGCAGTAGCAGGGGAGGCACTGCACACAACTCTGACCACCTGGTCAGAGCAGCACGTGTCCACAGCTACAGGCAACCGAGCAGCAGTGGAAGCAGCACTTGTGACCCTGTCCCTCCAGCTGTGGAGGCAACTGCAACTCTGGACCCCCCCACCACGCACAGCAGCAGCACCTACAAACCCGAAAAGCCCTAAGACAGCAGAGGAGCCCACAACCCCAGCTGCCCTCCGGACAGAGAATGAGCATCGCACTGATGGAGCACCTCCGCAGACCTGAAGCCATGTCCCCAGCTACGCGTGGCAGTCCTCATCCAAGGCCCTTACTCACATGGCTGAGGTCACTGCTGGGACTGCCCCTAGATGGATATCAACAGCTTTAAGCTATGCCTGGACTAGTTTGTAGTGACTCACTGTGGAGCATCCCCCAGACTGGCATGTGGCTGTGTATTTGTAAAGTTACCAGGGTAAGAAGCAATTAAATTTTCTCAGGCTTTCGCACCAAATTTCTAGAATTTCTGCTATACCTCAACAAATATAGTCCCCATTATTCCCTACTCTAGCATTAGAACACTGCATATTCAGAATAAGGAAAGATCACTGCAAAACCATACCTACCATTCAAAGTGGCCTCTTCTTAAGAAAATTAATATTCAGTTCAAGGCCAATTTATGCTGGCTGTGCTTGCTGCAAATCCCTATCCATGAAATCCAGGCACTTATCCAGAATTTTTCACTGATGAAATCCATAGCTTTATTGCTGTTACTACTGTTCACACTGTATTCACTTCTCTCAATCATCCTCCCCTATTGTACCAATTTGTCTCACTTTTATCCTTTTTTGTATTTGGACAACTTATAGCTGGTAACACAGAAATTTCCACAGTAAAGCTTCACAAAGAGAAGTAAGATGATGGACCCAATACCTTCTCTGAAATTCACCCTGCCCACCATGTTGGTCATACCTGTAACTTTTCGGTGCTTCAGCAGGAGCAGGAGAGCGTATCTTAGGGTGGTGCTTGTTGTCTCTGTCCCAGCTCCAAACAAATTAGACACAGTGGCTATCAAGTTTTCAAAAGTAAACTCCGTCTGTTGATTGTGCTTTTCCTAAGAATTTTTGATTTAATTTGACAGTTTACCAGCATATACAATTACAGTGAATCCAAAAAACTCACATTGTTACAAAATTAAAGAAACTCAGACACTGTTGAGTTCAGTATTAAAACAACAAGAATACCATATGGTATGGCAAAGTGTTTGGATTGACTAAATCTTCATTTCCTACTCTTACACCTTGCTTGCCTAAAAATCCCATTCCCAGCCTCTTCTGCAGCTATATTGGCCAACCAACATACTTCTTAACAATGGCCTACTGATGCCACTTTCTTATTTTTCTTCTTACTCAAAACACAGATATGAAGGTGGAGGTGGTGTAGACATCATCTTGGAACATGAGTATCTGAGCATGAAGATGAAGCCTGTGTACTAAGTATGCTTAAGAAAAACAGAAGCCACCTAAGTCCATGATTCTCTGGGGCTACCATACTAGCCCTGGACTGCCAAATGCCCAACAGGAGACTCTCTGTATGTGAGATAAACTCCATTATTTATTTAAACCTTTATTACTTGTTTTTCTTTCTTACTAGTAGGCAAACACAATATTAATTTAGGCAAATCAGAGCTGTATCTTGAAAAATGCTACAAGCCAGGATCAAGAGATTGCAATTCTCTTCTATTGCTGAAGACTTTATGTGGATTCTATATTGCCTAAAGACTCATTATGAAGCCGAAAAATGTGCAAAAGCTACCATAGCAGTACATCCTAGAATACATTACAGAGAAAGAGAATGGATTCACAAAGACAAAATGGGGTCAGCCACTACTACTGTATTCCAGATGTAAGGCAACAGGCAATCTGGTCCAGGAAACAAGTGCAGGAATTAACAGGAATATATACACAGAAGAAATGTTACAAACATGAAGACAAAGAATTTGGGCATTAAATGCCCACGGAGGATGAAGGAGAGAGATGAGGTAATGCAGATGCTGAGCACAGGAAGTGACTGAACAGAGCTCTCATAAATTGGAAATTGTGAGAATAAAAGCACTTCACGAGGACAACTAAGGTTGCTTTAAGATGAAGGATATTGTGACACAAAATTGATAGTAACAATGGGATAGTTTGAAATATTAACTATGGATGTCATTAATATACAAAAAATGATTTCTCCCTATCAGTCCTCTAGACCAGCATTAATAAGGCTCTTTGAATCCCCAAGGGACCTGTGCCATGTAAAATATTGTGTCATCAATTCCATTAAGACAGACTTAATCCTACCTACAGTGGTATTCGGTAGACAAAAGTAACCATCCCCACTGGTAACAACAACTTCATTCAATTTTCTAAACTTGTCAACTCAAAATTACTCTAAGGCGAGAAGCAGAGTAGAGTACCTATAAACCATTATTAGTATTTCCATCTGTTCAAATGAATTTGAAGAATCAAATGGCTGTGTACACTTAGGCTATCAAAAAAAAGTTAGCCTATAGAAAACGTTGCTAAAAGAAATTAAAGAAGACCTAAATAAATAAAGATACATCCCATGTTCATCTATGAAAGACCTGTAATTGTTAAGATGGCATTACTTCCAATGCCTACAGTTTCAACATGATCCCTATCAAAATCACTGCTAGCTTCTTTGCAGAAATTTATTAGACTATCCTAAAATTCATATGGAAATTTAAGTGACCAACAACAGACAAAACAATCTTGCAAAAGAACAAAACTGGAGTACTCACACTTTCCAATATCAAAACTTTAAAATAAAGCTACAGTAATCAAGAGTGTGTGGTACTGACATAAAGTGAGATATACAGACCAATGAAACAGAATTGAGAGTCTCATACTTACAGTCAATTAATTTTCTACAAAGTTGCCAAGACCATTCTATGTGAAAAGAATAGTCTTTTCAACAAATGGTGCTGGGACAACTGGATATACATATGCAAAAAAGAAAAAAAAAAGAAGAAGCTGGACCCATACCTCACACTATCATCAAAATCTGATTTAAAGTGGATCACAGACCTAAATAAGAGCTAAAGCTGTAAGATTGTTAGAAGAAAAACTGGGGAGAATCTTCATGTCCTTACATTAGATAGTTTCTTAAGAAATGACACCAAAGCACAAGCAACCAGAGAAAAAGTTAATAAACTGGATTTCACAAAATTTAAAACTTTTGAATATCAAAACGTTATCAAGACGGTAAAAAGACAATCTACAAAATAGAAGAAAATATCTGCAAATTATATATCTGATAAAGGACCTGTACCTCTAATATTTAAGAACTCTTACAACTTAACAACTTAATAATAATAGCCGAATTAAAAAATGGGCTAAGAACTGAAATAGACATTCTTCCAAAGAGATATGTAACTGGCCAACAAGCTCATTAAAGATGCTCAACATCACTAGCCATCAAGGAAATGCAAATCAAAACCACAAGGAAAGACCGCTTCACACCTACTAGGATGGCTGGAATCAAAAAGACAAGATATTAAGAAGCACTGTCAAAGATGTAGAGAAATTGTAACCTTCATACAATGCTGGTGAGAATATAAAATGGTGCAGACAATTTTATGCATAAGTTTTCTCCTAAGAGTTTTAGTTTCAGCTCTTACACTTAAGTCTTTGATCCTCCAAAGGTTAAATATAAAGTTATCAAAGACCTGACAAGTCTACCACCAGGTATATATCCAAGAGAAATTGAAACATATGTATAAACAAAAATTTGTACACAAACGTCCACAGAAGTGTTATTCCTAATAGCCAAAAAACAGAAACAACCAAAATGTCCATCAACCAACAAAAATATATAAAATATGGTATATCCACAATGACATATCATCCAATCATTCAAAGGAATGAAATACTGATATATTGCACATCATCAATGAACCCTGAAAACATTAAGTGAAAGAAGCTATACAGAGAAAGCCACATATCGTATAATTCCATTAATATGAAATGTCCAGAATAGCTACTCTATAGAGACAGAAAGTAGATTAGTGATGTCTAGAGCAAGAAAGGATGGGGAGCAATGGGGGTGACTCCAAAAGTATAAAACTTTTCTTTTCAAGGTTATAAAAATATTCAGAAATTGATTGTGGTGGTGGTGACAGCACAACTCTGTGGAAATACGAAACTACTGAATTGTACTTAAACTGTGTGAAGGGTATGGTATGTGAATTATACTCAATAAGGATTTATCAAAAAATAATGTTATACTCTAAATACCATAGTGAAATCCAGAGAAATAATGTGGTTTTTAAATATAGCACTGAGGAAGCAGGCTAATTGAAATTACTGAAATACCAGACTTTAAAGCCTCCTTAGCCCAGGATTAGTGGAGAAGCTTCATAGCGTTAAGGAAACCCCTCAAAATATGTGCAGAATATCAAGAACTCATATAGACGTGTTCTTCTGAGAAGGTATCCATACTTTTAATCAGATTCTCAAGTCAACTGGACCCCAGAAAGATAAAAATATTTGCCCCAGCAAGAGAGAAAGCAGAGAGCAGTAATAATTTGCTTCTTCCTTCCTCCAGTTTCTTCAAACCATACCATCTGCTTTACTTTGCTCCACCTGGGACACATGATTTGAGCAGTCCAGTTCAAATCCATAGACAATTCTTTCAAAGCAACCTTCATCAGCATCTGTGACTCCTCACCGTTTTAGTATATTAACTGATTTCTCATTTCTGCCCAGTGCTACAAACTGGTTGAATAAAATAATCGTGGCCTCAGATAAAGGAATTTCCTTCTCTAGAATTAGCTCTTTACAGTGTGTTCTGCCTTTCCTCAGTTCAGGAAGTTCTCTGCACCCACACGAGGGTTTTGATGTCATCTACATTACTCTTATCATAGTTTCCAACCTGACCCTACTACTATTCAAATTCACTGTTCAGATTTACTATCTGAATGTTTCTCTCCTTGGTTGAACTTCTCAAATAAGGTATTTGGTCATATTATTGAAATTTCCCATACAATCCCTACAATTTGGCTCTCATCCCCTCCGCCAACTAAAACCAATCTTTATTGATCTCTGATAACATGACAAGATGGGCAGCTTGATTTTATTTCAGAATCTTCTGTATTTCCACGGTCTAAACTTTCATCAAACCAAAGTTCAAAAAAAAGAAAAATCTCACAGCTGGTCCTTGAGCTCCATTCTTATGATACAGTTCATCTCATAGAACTTTCAGGATAATTTTCCCCAGTAGTTATTTGCATTCTACTCTTGTTTTGGCTCACACATCTCTGCCTGATCAAATCAAAATTTTTCATGCCAAAACTCAGGTTTACAGTTACTGGACAGACACCAACCTCCACCTCTGCATCTGTCTAAATTTATTTTTGATGACATTCAGTTCAGGCTTCTCTCTTCTAGCCATCTAATTTCCTTACCACAACACACCTCTGAACCTCTCATTGTATCTTTCTACCAATCTGAAATTCCCTCCCCTATGACTTACTGCAAATATTTGAAGAGCTACATCAAACCTTAGGACAAAGAGGAAGCCCATCCAGGTTAAACTCTTCCTTCTCACCCTCCCACATGCTGTGTGACATGATCACATCCACCTTCCTTCTATGGCTCAATATTTTGTATGTCTCACTTGTTTGTATTTCCATTTCACCTGGGATATACATTCCTTTCTCCTCAGGTAGCCTATTAGTACCTAACAAACAAGGTCAATATATTCTAGTTATTTAACAGTTCAATTTTAAATCTCTCATGATGTTCAGTCCAGATCCATGCACACACAAGTACCCAAAGTGCTCGTCAAGCATTTCTTGTCTAACCATTTAAACATCCCAAATAAGTACAGAACTAGTCAATGAACCAAACAATTCAGGCAAACAGATAACCAATCTGTCATTAACATTTTACCTGTTCCATTTTGATCAGAAAACAGTCAATGAAGTCCCGAGGGTTGTTAATGTCCAGGGATACCTGGTGTTCTTTTATTTTCTCCAAAACATAGCTTTCTAAATAAGCAAAATTTTTAAGTATTTTGTTATGACTTCCTGGGAGATAGTCAATGAAAGCAGGGAAATTGTTGCAGACCTTAAAGATTAAAAAAATACATTGTTTATTAACTAAAAACATATATCGGAGACATACACCATATGCAAAGCCCTGGTTAAAAACAGAGATGAATACAAAATGGTCTCTGTCTTCAGGGGGAGCATTTTATATTGTACATATAAAGTAATTCTCTCTGCTGGTAGAGATATTTAAGGGAGAAAATTCTGACCAGTTGATGATAATTGATAGTAATTTTCTATACTCATACATCAACCTTATAGTATTAAAGCATCTTTACAGCAATTCTTTCATTTTCTAACTTAGTTTTTTGTTACAACCTATAGAATGAGATGAATTACTAGGACTCACAGTTTACAGATGAAGACAGAGGTTAAGGAAGTGTGGGTAAGCTGACATAGAGCACAAAGCCACTCCCTGCTGGTTCTACTATCAGGCAGCCCCAGAAACAGAACCACTCTTCTAATTCAGCAGGACGCAAAACTGGCAGGAAACCCGACTCAGCATTTTACAGATAAAGTACATGTGCACCACAGCAGGCAAGTGACTTTTCTAAGATCATGTGGTTTTATTTAGGCAGAGTACAGGACACACAAGCTCAGCACAGGGAAAAATCGTGGTGTTTGTTCATGGTTCATACACCAGAATACCAATCATTCTGTCATCTCAACCCCAATACTTTGTCAGCTCGGATCCCAAACTGACACATGACACACCCCTGCCCTAGTCAGCGTTCCCTGGCAGCATCTGTTCACAAACATTCTCCCTCCTTGAGAGATAGTCTCTTCCTTTCTTAATTAGGATATTTCTGCTAAGTTAAAGTGATGAAGAGGTCAATAAATGTGACTAGAGGACAAGACTTATGAGCAACAGAGACCTTTCAGCAAGGACCTGGGGGTTCACCGGGTGCTATGGCCATGCTTTGGGGCAGTTATGGAAACTGCGTTTTAGGGGGTAATGGAAAAATCACTGGCCAGGAACCCAATAGGCTTGAATTCAGGTATTTCTTTTCTTGTCTGTAAAATAAAGGCTCAGCTATCTTTCCCAGATTTTCACTCTGTGATGCTAGATCTGGGCAGGACTATGGTGTTCAAATATTCACAGATTAACATCAGCAAAAACAGTGCAATAGATAGCTCCAAAGGCCCAGCCCTACAAAGAATGTTGGAAAATCAAGCAAAAACTGTCAGAATCAATTTCTCAGAACTCTTGAATTCAAAGGTTTGGAGCAATCACGTGAATGCTGAATCAAGAAAAAAGGTAACTTAAAAATGGTGGGAAAGATTTGTGGCTTTTTTCCCCCTTGTTCCACCTCCCTCCTCAGTTTGGCAGTGGTCTTCACAAGGGAAGCTTCTGATGTGGGACCCTGGTTCCTAGTTCTGGAGAGACCAGAGCAGACCTCACTCACAAAGAATTGTGTTTCTGCGTCCTGACCTCTCTGGGGCCAAAGAACTGACACAGGCATCTGTCTTTATGTCATCTAACTTAGAACTCAGGGTGGAAAAGCAGCAGGTATGTCTCAAAAACCCTGCAAGATGAATGAACAACCTACAGCCACCTGGGGCAAAAGATTACAGTTAAGGCATACAACAGAGCACCTGACCTCGGGAAGAAAAGCTGGGCGGTGGGGGGAGTCCCTCTGGGAAATTAGAACATTCGAAAGCACTCATGTATACTGAGGAACTCAGAAAGCTACACACATGCCCAGGGCAGGACACAGGCTAAATAAAGACCTGAGAGACACTATGTTTTCACTGCTGATCTCTAGGCTTAGCGCAAGCAACAAGTGAAGACCAAGACAGAGTTAAAAATGGCCTGGCTAAGGGCTGAATGAGTGCCCAGCAACACAGAGGCAATCTGGAAGAGTTATTTCCATCCTTCCTTCCATCCTTCCTTCTTTCCCCTCTTCCCCTCTTTCTCTTTCTCTTCCTCATTCTATCTCTACCCCTTTCTCTTCACCTCTTTTTTTGGCTCCTCACATTCAAGGACATCTCTATCCAAACACTAGCTGAACATAAGTCAAAGGAACAGATTTCAGAGACCACATACACACACAAAAGACTCTGCAAAAATAGTTTAGAAAAGTCACTAAATAAACAAAGACCTATAGCCTCTAACGGGGTGGGGGGGAGAACCTCGCCCCCAAAAAAAAAACCCGTAGGGTAAGAAAAAAAACAAAACAAAGAGAGGAGAGAAACTAAGTCCCAGAGTTACCACACTGTAATATCCAAAATGTTCAGTTTTCAAACATTCATTTCACAGCCTGGTCCATATGTAATTCTGAACCTGTCAGAAGAACATAAATGATTTTTCAGGAAGAGAAGATCTTGACCTTACCTGGATCCATGGGGAGCTCACAATCCTGAGGTTTTCATTAAATTTTTCCAGCAAACTAAGAAAATCGTGATCTGTATAATCAAAACGGTTCTGGAAAATAATGGAGCAGATCACGTTGCAGGGAGCACAGCCCAGGATCACAGGGTGAAGCTAAAGAATTGGAAAGATTTATAAAACATTATTAAAATATACATATAAAACTTTGTTGTGGTTAACAAGTAATTTTAGAATTTCTAAAGCAGTATCTACCTAGAAATTCCCTTATCAGCAAAACTTTAAGTATGCTTAAAGTCAACACACCACTTTTCCCTTAAACATGACTGACCATTCCATCCCAGTTTGAGGTTTAATAACAATTAATAATAAATTTTCCAAATACTCCAGTTATATTATTGCCTTGACCCAAGGTGCTGGTTATTTTGAAAAGCAGGAAAAAAAAAAAGAAAAAAAATTAAAGGTTGGTTTTTAAAACACTTAATAATTCAGGCTATTTATCAATGTAGAATCACATCTGCCTGGTAAGCTTATAGCCAATCAAGCATTGATGTAGGAAGGAAAAATAGTTAGGGACCCAGAAAACGTTTTATACATAATGAATAGTTGAAGGAACAGCTTGTAGAATCAGTGAAGGAACAGATTAAAGACAGAAAGATTATGGAAAAATTCAGGTATTTGATGGAACAATAGAAAAAAGCAAAAGCCGTCCATGTTGCATGAAAAGAAAAACTAACACAAATGAACACAAATTATAAGATAGATTTGTTTTCCTAAAATAAAAGTATGTAAGAATTCTTCACTTCAAACTTAAATCACAGATAGGGCAAACAAGAAAGGTTAAACTGATAAACGGAGTCCCTTCGTCTCTCTATTGCAATGTGGTGGGGGAGGGGGGAACATCCTGCTCTAAGAAATAGTGTCCTTACTCCCAACCAGGCCTCACATTTAACTTATTTGACAGAACCTGCTCTCTCAATTCTGGGATATTGCTATATATACCCATCAACAGAATACCATGCTATTATAAAATTTTAAATTCGAATTTAGATCAATTCCATCACTGTACAGATAGAGCAGAAGAAAAGTAGTTTTCTTTTTTAGGGGACAATATTTAAATGAAGTTGCTATAATCAAACAATCAATAAAATTTATATGCCCAAATCCACATCACAGATGTAATTAAGGGTGACTTGAATCAAGGTGTTGTGAAGAAATGATAGGGAATTAAGTAACAGGAAACCTGTTAAACAACTGCTCCTCTGCCAGGCTCCTTTTCAGCTGAAACATGCCAGGGCACTAAGCTTTCAGGAAAAAAACTTCTTTTAGAAGGCAGTGGATGATTTCCTTCTGTGTGTTGACAACTAAAATCTGATTTTTAATCTTTCCTTCTACTTCCTTTGAAAAAGAGAATTACTGAGCAGGGAAATTTGGAATTCAGACTGAAAATAAGATTCATTGTGACAAGCACTTCACAAGTCCGTATAGCCGGCAGTAGGTGGTAAAAAAAATTACCAAAAAGTTCTAACTTAAAATCCAGTTGTTATAAAATGTATGTGGGATTTTATTTTTATTCAGATGGTGAGGATAACAGATCAGCAGATGATAGCCATCGAAAAAGACAGTTTGTTACTTACACATCCCAAGAAGAGGGGGTACACCACACAGGGCCACAAGGGGGAGCACCAAGGTCAGTCAGGAGGCAGAAGGGTCAAGGGGAAAGCATGGGCCAGAGCCTTTACTGGGGTTTTCATTGAAGAAATGAGCAATGCACGGTATGTATGCTGACTAAGTTGAGGATTAGATAGTTTGGGTAATTTCAGAGGGCTCTAGACTATAGGGGTGGTCTCTAGTTGTCCAGTAACTGGCCTTGGGTTGATTTAAGGCAGGGAGAATATTGCCTTGGTGTGTGAAAGTTTAATAAAGGAGGTGGCTAGGGGATATGGACATTGGATAGGTTAGTTTGAAAATCAAAGGCATGCTCACAGACAAGATGTTTGCTCTCAGAATTAGCTAATCCTGGGAAAGGCAGTTGTTCCCTGGGTCTGCAAGGCCCCCAAGATGTCAAAGTATCATAACAGAGAAAATTAAAAACATGATTATTACATTAATAAAGGAGGAGAGGAATACAAAGAAAACTGAAAACAGAAGCCACTACTAGGGAAGGCAGGGCAATGAATTATCAATAAAAGCTGAAATCTGTTTGAATAAATCATCTTATAACCTGGCATTTGGGGAATGTTGAGGATTATGCTATAGCATCTATTTCTTAAAATATATAAAACAATACTTAAGTAGGGAACAACATTAAATAACTTAAGCTGATAATTTAAAAGCAGTTGTTTACAAGGAAATCACAGCTAACGAGGTCTGCACTAAGGGATGCCAAAGCAATTAAAATCATAGAAAAGTATCATTATGGGCCAGAACATCAAGTAAAGGGTCTTGGAAGAAACCTTCAGATATGTGAGTGAGGCTGAGCATACAAATATAGGCCAATTAAAAAGCACATATCATTTGTTTCATGCTTCATCAGGGTGTGATGAGGTCATTTCTACCGTGTCCACCTGACAAGTACTCCTTGTTGAAATGTTCTGGAATAGATAACCCACATTTACACTATAGGAAAAATACTGTTCTCTAACGTCAAAAAACTAAGACTCAAAACTGTCTACCTTTATGACCTAATGATTTGAAAACAAGAGTTCAGGACAGAATAGCATTAAATGACTTTTAATCCACACTGTAGGCACCATTCTGGGCCTACACACACACACAACAAGCATAAATACACAAAAGCTCCTTTGCTTCTCTGGGTCAAATCCTTCCTCCTCCACATGAGGACTCACAGCCACTACCCACATGAAAAATGGGGCCGCCCCTGAAATGTTTCCAAGGATGTCACTGGAGAAGTGAGCAGCCTGTTAAGGTCAGAGATTGAGTACAGAAATCACCCACCATTGGTTTTTCTCAACTCCTCCACAAGGCAGCGGGCTTCCTCTTGAACACGGTCCTCAATGCTCCTCTTACCCATTCCGAAATTCCGCAGGGTCATGAGGGAGAAGCGCCGGATCTCCTTTCATCTCTTTCCATTGCTGAAGAGGACTCCTACCAGGAGGGGAAGCAGAGACTAGGAGGGAGGTCCTAGGGAAGGAGGAGTGAGCTGACACTTGCCAGCCTCTGGGATGAACCAACTCTGCTGAGGAGTTTTTCAAATTTCTGTTCTCCACCCTCCCCACACCCATTGCCAATGCTGAATATGAAACATGCACACATACCATATCCCTTATTAACTCTTTCAGCCAATGGGAAACTCCCTCTTCCAGAAAACTCTTCTCCCATTATCAATTAGGGCTTCTTTCACTGCTTCATATCCATGCAACACAATGGTGGGCTTCAAGCCAAAATACAGAGTGAACACAGGGCCATAAACTTTTGAGAGCTGGAAAATGGAAAGAAAATGCAAATATTTTAAAAATTGATAAAAATTTTAAAAAATTAATTAAAAATTTTTAAAATTAATTCAAAAATGTTTTAAATTAAAAAATATTTAAAAGAAAATGCAAATATTATCAAAAAAAGTCACAATTTAGTCTATTTTACTCATGATTAAGATTGCTATCATCACATTGTCGACGTTTTTATTCTGCCACACATAATTTCAAACATTTCTGGATCTTATATATAAATGGGGTGATAATTCAACATCATTCACGATAAAAAGTCTCACCAAAGTGGGCATAGAGGGAACATATCTCAACATAATAAAGCCATTTACAACAAGCCCACAGGCAACATAATATTCAACAGTGAAAAGCTGAAAACCTTAGTGCTAAATTCAGGAAGAAAACAAGGATGACCACTCTCACCACTTCTATTCAACATAGATTGGAAATCTTCGCCACAGCAATCAGACAACAAAAGGCATCCAAAGTGGGAAGGAAGAAGTACAAATGTCACTATTTGCAGATGACATCATACTATATCAAGAAACATGTCTCCACCAAAAAACTATTATAACTAAGAAATGTATTCAGCAAAGTTGCAGGATACAGGATTAATATAGAGAAAGCTGTTGTGTTTCTATATACCAATAATGAACTATCAAAATGAAAGTTTAAAAAAAATCCCATTTAAAGTCACATCAAAAAGGATGAAATAGCTAGGAATAACCCAATCAAAAAATTGGCACAAGGCCTAAATAGACACTTTTCCAAAGAAGACATACAGATGGTAAACAAGCACATGAAAAGATGCTCAAAACCACTACTAGAGAAATGCCAATCAAAACCACAATGAGGTATCACCTAACACCAGTCAGAAAGGCTATCATCAGAAAGTCTACAAATAATAAATGCAGGAGAGGGTGTGGAGGAAAGGGAACCCTCCTACACTACAGGTGGGAATGTCAATTGCTGCAGCCACTATGAAAAATGGTATGGAGGTTCCTCAAAAAAAAACAAAAATTGACTTACCACATCATCCAGCAATTCCACTTCTGGTTATACATCCAGAAAAAACAAAGATTCTAATTTGAAAAGATACATGCACCCCAAAGTTCACAGTAGCACTATTTAAAATAGCCAAGACATGAAAGCAATCCAAGTGCCCATCAACAGACCACTGGCTTAAGATGTGATACATATACACAATGGAATATTATTCAGTCATTAAAAATTGTGACCAACTACACTTCAATTTAAAAAAAAAAGAAATGCTTTGCAGCAACATGGACAGGCCCAAGGAATATTATGCCTAGTGAAAGAGGTCAGAGAAATAAAAAATACTATATGATATCACTTAAACACAGAATCTAAAAAATAACACAAATGAATCTATATACAAAACAGAAACAGACTCACAGACATAGAAAACAAATTTACGGTTACCAAACAGGGGAAAGTACAAATTGGGAGTACGGGATTAACAGACACAAACTACCATACATAAAATAGATAAGCAACAACGATTCACCGGACAGCAGAGAGAATATATTTAACATCTTGTAACAGGCCACCGCCAAGATGGCGGCGCCCAAGCTGCGCTGCATTTTCCATCCGGTGGTTTGGTACCTCAGGCCAGTCAGGAGTCTTGCTCCCGGGGCTGCGTGAGGCCCACTCAGGCTCTCAGGGGTTGCTGGCGGTGCAGAAGGCTCAGGGTCTGTTCAAGTTCTTCCCCGAGAGTGGTGCGAAGACTGAGTTCACAGAGCTCTTCGACCCCGGCACCACAGGCAACTTTCCTCAGGCCACCTATTGCGGATTCGACACCACAGCCCACTCACTGAATGCAGGGCACCTGCTGGTGCTGTTGGGCCTGTTTTCATTTCCAGCGAGCGGGCCACAACCGGATCAAGCTGGTGGGAGTCAGGCGGACGCGGAGCGCGAGGCGCCGGACGCGGAGCGCGAGGCGCGCGCACGCAACCTGCACCCAGGACTCAAGGCGCCTCACTAACCCGCAGACCTGGGGCAGCTTCCGGTGCTGGACGACTCGGTGCGGGGCTAGAAGCAGCTCCTGAAGAACTTCCGGTCGGCAGTGGGCGGCTGCTTCCGCATGGGCGCACAGCTGAGCTCGCTGATCGTGCAGACTGGGCTCAAGAGCCCCAGGAGCATGAGTTTGGCTGGGTTTTTCTACCATGTGCTCCAGGACTGTGATTTCTACTACCTATTCTAGCGTTATGGAAGCCAGGCCCAGCTGGGTGATCTGATCAGCTGGGCAATATCATTTCAGGATACGAGTTCATACACAACTTGACTGGAAAAGACGTTTTTGGACTCTGTTCCTCTAATTACAATTGGAGCAAAACTGGGAAAGTCCGCCAGCGGTGCTGTTGGGCCAAACAGGTATAAGACATCTCCGTTTGAATTGTTCCAGTTTTTTTGTCAGGCAGCATGACTATTTGGCAGAAGGTTACCTGACGCTCTTTACTTTTATGCCTCCTTCCAGGGGTTGACCACATAATGCAGCTGCATGTCAAAGAGCCAGAAAAGCCGAGTCCTTAGAAAGGACTTGCAGAAGTAACAAAGTTTGTTCGTGAACGAAAAGGGCTGGACTCTGCTAAAAAGGTGTACACAAGCCCTTTATCGTAGCAGCATAGATGCACTGGAGGTCATGTCTGATCAAAAGTTAAAAGATTGTTTAAAGAAGCTTCATTTTCTGGAATTTTGTTTTAACATTTTTATTGTTATAGTCAATTTACAATGTTGTGTCAATTTCCAGTGTAGAGCACAATTTTTCAGTCATACATGAACATACATATATTCATCGTCACATTCTTTTTTGCTGTGAGCTTCATTTTCTGAATTAGTCCTTGACCCAGGAACAAGCGTCCTAGATACATGCTGCAAAGCAAATGCCTGATGGTCCTGAGGGTATCGGATGATAACAGAAGGCGGAGTCAGTATAAATCACAGACAAGTAATAAATCCTGAGAGTATTTTAGTTTTTTGCAGAACATATTCTTAAGAACGGACTTTCATTACTTAAAATAGGAAAAAGGAATTTCTACATTATAAGATGACTTCAGCTATGGTGAAAATCCTTCTGGTGGTTCAAACAAATTTATACATTATTCATTCTCAAGACATTCGAACTTACACTTTTGCTTATGCAAATGAAACAAAGAGAATGGAGTATACTCTAGGCATCACAGCGTGAGTAATTTCATTATTTATATAGGTTGGTTTTGTGTGTATAACAGTGGGATATTTTATTTCCTAATCCTTAAATATGAAGGACTCCCACAGAAAAGCATGACTTCCAGAGTAATCTCTTAATAATTTTACTTCATAAAAAAAAAAAACTAATGGTTGTTTTCCTGTCCTGTTCTTGCTCTTTTGGATATGGGAGAGGGAAAATGAAAAAGAGGTAGTATAGGAATTGTGGGTACTTTTATATCAGGTGTATATATCACTGAATTTTTTTGTTGTTTAGGAAGCTAATACAGTTCTCCTTAAAAAAGGAAACATGGTAGAGGAAGCCATAGTTGGCATTAGAAATTATAGTAGAAGTAGTTTCTTTTCAAAGAAAAGAACAAAAATCAGTACCTGACTTTTCAGAAAGTTTCTAATTCAATTTTCCAGTCCCATGCCTGTGTTTCCATATAATTAAATTTACTCAAGCCTTGTCTTTTTATTTAGTAAAGTAAGGCAGCAATGATTTATAAACTTTTAAATTAGTTTTGAGTTTCAAATTCTGTCCCCAAGCATATTGCAACTTGAGATGAACTGAAAAGTTAAGTGACCAACCAGACAGAAGAGAGTTAACCAAATGAGACTATCCAAAGATAAAAGGGCTAAAAAAAAAAAATTCAGGTCAGATTTAAAGGATTTGGAATCAAGGCTTAGTTAAATTAAGCTCTACATACATCAGGTGAGTTAATCCTCCAGCACTATTTGCAACATGTGAAAAACCAAGATGATAGCACCCTTACGTCCCTGAGGATCAAGTGAAACACAAACACACATGAAATGGTTTACAATCAGATTTCTTTTAGAACTTACAGGCAGCATAGCATGGCTTTAGAGTTCAAATTCTAACCATTTACTACCTGGATTTCTTGCAGCAAGCCTCTCATGGCTTCAGAGTTCAAATTCTAACCATTTACTACCTGGATTTCTTGCAGCAAGCCACTCATGGCTTCAGAGTTCAAATTCTAACCATTTACTACCTGGATTTCTTGCAGCAAGCCACTATCTTCATGTGCAAAAATGGAGATGTTAATAATACTTCAGGCAATTCTGAAAATCTAATAGGAGAAATATCATAAAACTTTCATACAGTATAAGCTGTACTGCTGTGTTCCAAAGTAGATTTAAGTGTTAAAAAGTTCTGGTTTATCTAAATCTTCTTCTGAGAGTAGAGTTGGGAAGAATTCACTCCTTGACAAAGTTTTATGTCACTATATGCTGGCAATTTTTTGACATAGTAAGTAATAGGTATCCAATGTAAATGTCAGAGATCATCTCTATGGTTCAGAACTTCACTGTTTGAGGGCCAACAAAAGGTTTTCTCTTTCCATACCTATCTTGCCTCTGTTTTTCTTTGTACAGGGTGTGTAGTACCAGCAAGTGCATTACCACAGCAGGTAACGTTTTCAAATTGAAATTTGTTTGATATATTGGAGAAAGGTGCATTATACTTACTTTTCCCTCTCCAAATTTAATAGGCTGGAATAGCATGGTAGTCACCAGATCTATCCGAAATAAGTCATGTATGGCTATAATTTCAAAACTGATGTTGAATGATGGCAGAGTGATTTTAAAGTGTGCTAACAAACATTTTGGAAGCATGTATTCTATGAAGATATAGAGTTGTACCATATCATAGCAGACTGAGTCTGTTTTTTTTATGTTTGAGATCAGTTGCTGAGCCTATTGTTTCTTAGTAAGTAGGTACCATTAGATAAAGATAACAGACACCTCCATATTGTTCCTGCCAGTAGTCCTTCATGAATGTCGTGACTTAAAAAATTTTAATATCTGCAATATATAATTTATCTTAACATGTATAATGTAATTCATGTCAAGAATCACCTGGGGAATTTTAAAATGTGTGTATGTTCTAGACCTCACTCCCAACCCCCTGAAAGCCTTTAGGAGTATGTGTGTCCAGATGTTTTGCTTTAAATAATAAAGCTCCACCACTATTTTCATTAAAAGCAAATCTTATAATATCATATAATAGCATAAAATCTTCAAAAAAAAGTGAATCACTATGCTGTACACCTGAAACTAATGCAGTATTGTAAATCAATTATAAATTTTTATCATCAGTAAAAAATTTTTAGACTAAATATGATGCTGATAGTTATATCACCTCTGATGTACCAGGCAATGGCCTGGGCGATTGGTACTCAGATTATTACTAACCACCAGATCAACACCTTGAGATAAGTCTATTTACACTGTTTTATAAATAAAGAGATTGAGGGTCAAAGAATTTCCTGTTTATTTGCAGTGTGTCACACCTAATAAATAGAAGACCCAAATTTCAGCACTTCTTATTCGACCTCTAGTGCCTGAGCAATTTATCAGTCCCCAGTGCCTACCTTAGGGCCAATTTCCAGCTGACTACTTCCGGATCACCTGTAAAGGTCATCCCATGGGAGTTGTGACTCAGTAGTGATAAATGCTAGAAATCTGTATTTTTTAAAACCACTCTAGGTGATTCAAATGCCCAGCCCATTTCCAAATCTGCTGATATTACTAACACAGAAAGGGTGTAAGCGTAACAGAGGCAGTGTCAGGACATGCAGCATCTCATGAAAGAACAGTTTCTTCCACCCTGCAGCGTTCTTGGCCTCAGCCGCTTTGTGCAGAATTCAGAAAGATTCAGTCACCACCCAGCTGGCTCTGACTAGTTAACTCTTTTCTATCATTCACTCATGCTGGTCCTGATCCCCAGCTATTTACTGGACATCAGGCATAATTTGCTTCTTCAGAGAAGTTCAAAATTCATGGCTGTTCTGACCAAAACATACAGTTTGTATAGTAAATGACTTCTTGAATGAAATCTCTGATGACAAAACACTTCCCTTACCATTCACTTGCAGCCCCAAATCATAGCAAATGGTGGTGAAATAAAGAAGAGAAGGAGCACTCCCATCTTCTGCCACTTTATTATTTTGATTCTACCATACAAAGATCTAAATGCTTCTCCAGTCACAAAATGCATTACTTCATTCCACTGTTCTTGACAATGACAGACCAAAGGTAAAACTCTACAGGGAGTATTTGCTTTAAAATGACATATTTTAATATATTATAATAAATAGATTTTATTTTAAAGTAGAAGTTAACTTACTTACCCTTTGCAAGCCGTGGGAGGACTATAAAACATACTTACATTTCTTAAAGATTTGCTGATGTCCTTAACATCTAACTGTAGGATATTTCCAAGAATTGGGAGAGGAGTGGGGCCAGGCGGGAGGTTCCCTCTTTGAGATCTCTGTTTCCACAGAGACAGGAGAAGCCAACAGGAGAGACAGAGCACGAGGACCACAGCTAGATCCATTGAAGCTTTCTCTTCTTACTTAGACAACTGTGAGCCTGAAATCTAAAGCTTTTCTAACAGTCCAGCTAATTCAACCTGTGAGTCTTTGATTCATAATGACTCAAAGTAAACAATCAGCTAGGTGTACTTTAATCTCTCTTATGAAGGGAATTTGGCCCTCTGATAAAGATTAACATAAGGTGTTCTTTGCTCTAGTTTCTGTCTAATGCCCCACCCTGGACAATCTGGTTTAACAGGTCTAGAGTGGAGCCCAGGTACTGGTAATTGTTTAAAAACACCCCATGTGGTTGAGAACCAGTGAAGTCAGTGATTTAATTTTTAAAAAATTGATCAACATTCTGGATTCCCAGATTAATGACCAGTTGAGAATTTATGGCTTTGAGGGCAAATCCTTGTATATTAAAAAATGTTTATCCTTTAATGCTTGATCAAGCACTAAGATACTTTGTTCTTGAAAATGAAAGCCTTTTGAAATATTTTAGTGCACTGTACCAACATTATAGCTTCCTAAACATAAACTTGGTAACGTAACTCATACATCTTGAAAGTCAAACATGTATCAAGTAATTAGCTAAGTAAATTTACATGTATTTTACATCAAACTCTCCTCCTCCCACCCCCACAAAAAACCACTAGAAGAATGGATTATTAAATTTTATTTTCAAATAGGGAAAGGGAAATTCAGAGAGAATAGGAGATCCACCCAGAGTCACACAGCTCATAAATGACAAAACTGGAATTTGAACGAATGTCCTCTAATGCCCCTTGTAGTGCACTGTGACTTACATCACAGCTGCCTCAAAAACAATTTTAGGAAAACAAAACCAAACCCCTGAAACATTAGTCTCTGAATGTACACCCCACTGAGTGTTCACAGAATAACAGACTTCACACTAAAGCAGATGCTCCTCACTTGACTCCAAGGATAAAAGGATTGTGGATTCTCAAGAGAAGACATACCTGATACGGATTCTCCCTCCACCACTGCAGAGGTAAAACTTGTTCAGGCAACTAAGGGAAGAGCCAACCTCAGAGAATTTAGGGTATAGGACTTGAGAAGCCATGACTTCCCCCTCCTCCCAGTCACCTCCAGATACAGCTGCTTTTCTTTGGTTGCTTTCTTTGGCCCATCATTGTCAGAAATAATGGAATGAAGTGTGCACAGCAAGGAAGGGAGCTTTTAAACAACAAAAGGTGTGGTTTCAGTGGAAGATGAAAACAAGGACTTCAATGAACAGATTCACAGCCCAGAAACCTTCAACGTGCAGACACAAACAGGAAACGTTTAGTGGTCATGAGGATCTAAATATCATTGAAATTATATACATTAAGAGATTGCTAATAATAATGCCTGTACAAAGACATTCTGTAAAGATAGCATCATAGTTTTTATTGAAGTATAGTTGATGTACAATATTATATGGTACAGGTATACCATATAGTGAAGTTATACTTTATTTACAGTTGTTACAAAAATTGGCTATATTCCCTGTGTTGTACAATATATTCGTGTGGCTTATTTTATACCTAATAGTCTGTACCCCTACCTCTAACTTACCCCTCCCTCTATCCCTCCGCCAACTGGTAACCAGTAGTTTATTTTCTTTATCTGTGAGTCTGTTTCTTTTTTGTGATATTCACTAGTACAGGAGCATGTACTTTTTCAGGCTGTACTTGAGGGAAGCTTCTACAGAGTCCACAGACTTCACTGGACATCCTCAGGGAAAAGAAAAATAGCCACCCTATGAGCAGTTCTTGTATTTTCATATCCAGCATTCGATTTTCAGAACTCTAAAACACTCTATGTTAAAACTTCTTTTTTTTAGATTTATTTTTTAATTGAAGTATATTCAGTTTACAATGTTGTGTTAGTTTCTAGTGTATAGCATAATGTTTCAGCCATACGTGTACGTACAAATATTTCTTTTTATTTTCATTTTCATTATAGGTTACTGCAAGATAGTGAATATAGTTCCCTGTGCTATACAGTAGAAACGTGTTTATTTTATTCATTTTTTATTCTTATCTTTTATTGAAGTATAGTTGATTTACCAAGTTAGTTTCAGGTGTATGGCAAAGCAATTCAGTTATCCATATACATACATACATATATATTTTTTCAGTTTCTTTTCCATTATGGCTCATTATAAGAAATTGAATATAGTTCCCCATGCTATACAGTAGGTCCTTGTTTTTCCATTTTATATATAGTAATGTGTATCTGTTAATCCCAAACTCCTAATCTGTCCATCCCCCCTCCTTTTCCCCCTGGTAACCACAGTTTGTTTTCTATGTCCATAAGTGTATTTCTAGTTTGTAAATCAATTTATATCTTTTCTTTTTAGATTCCACATTTAAGTGACATCATATGTATGATACTTGTCTTTCTCTGTCTAACTTACTTCACTCAACATGATAATCTCTAGGTCCATCTATGTTGCTGCAATGGCATTATTTCATTCTTCTTTGTGACTGAGTAATATTCCATTATATATACACCACAATTTCTTTATCCATTCATCTGTTGGTGGACATTTAGATTGGTTCCATGTCTTAGCTATTGTAAATAGTGCTGCTGTGAACATTGGGGTTCATGTGTCTTTTCAAATTATAGTTTTCTCTGGATATAAGCCCAGGAGTGGGATTGCTGGATCATGTGGTAGTTCTATTTTTAGTTTTTTAAAGAACCTCCATACTGTCCTCCATAGTATCTGCACCAATTTATATTCCCACCAACAGAGTAGGCGGGTTCCTTTTTCTCTACACCCTCTCCAGCATTTATTATTTGTAGGCTTTTGAATGATGGCCAATCTGACTGGTGTGAGGTGATACCTTATTGTAGTTTTGATTCACATTTCTCTAATAATTAGCAATATTGAGCATCATTTCATGTGCTTGTTGGCCATCTGGATTTCTTCTTTGGAGATAAGTCTGTTTAGGTCTTTTGCCTATTTTTTGATTGGGTTGCTTTTTTTTATATTAAGGTAAATGAGCTGTTTATATATTTTGGAAATTAGTCCCTTGTCTGTCATGTCATTTGCACCTATTTTCTTTTTTTTTTTAACATTTTTTATTGATTTATAATCATTTTACACTGTTGTGTCAAATTCCAGTGTTCAGCACAATTTTTCAGTCATTCATGGACATATACACACTCATTGTCACATTTTTTTCTCTGTGAGTTATCATAACATTTTGTGTATATTTCCCTGTGCTATACAGTGTAATCTTGTTTATCTATTCTACAATTTTGAAATCCCAGTCTATCCCTTCC